GCATGTAAAATATTTTTAATTTCGATCTCATTCCATGAATATTACATTTGATATGAAAGAATGTAACTCATTTGCCTACACTTTGTTGTCACTAGACACTAAAAAGCATATAGCTTAAAGCATAAACCCCTGTAGCTAGCATATGCAGTTGCAATACCATAATATTATGTGTGAAGTTATAACTTTTTCTATCAGTTTTCACTCTTGAAATCAGTAATTGTAATAATTGAAAATGTCTCTTTTACGTTTTTATAAAAATATTAGAATTCAAGCTATGTGAGCAAATAATTCATACTCTTTACATGCATAAAGCAAGGAAACTCATTTCAAAAAGAAAGAAAAACTGACGAATCGGTCTCTAGTTTCTCCAATCTCTATAATCTTATTATCTATATTTGATAAGGTGAACAGGAATGGGGGTATAAGTCATACCCCCATTCCTGTTCACCTTATAATAACAAGGTCAGTAAATGTGAACGACAAATGTGGTTCGTTTGCCAACATTACGATAGAAAAAAACATCAAAGCAGACACATACACAAAAGTGTCTGTATCTAACGCACCCTTTAATGATTCAATAAGTTCTTAAGAAGTAAAAAAAATATATTTAGCATTTAATACCACTGTCCGTAAGATCAAGACCAAGAAAAGGATCTTCCCTGTCAGCCCTAGTGGCGATCACTGCGACCTCGATCTTAAAGGTCACTATCTGGATTTCGGGCGCTCGCTCAATACACCGTAATTTGTTTTTGATTTGCGTTAAATTCCACCGCTGGAGCGAAACATGCAGATGAAAACTTTATAGACTTCCAAAATGCATTCATCAATAATTTTGTGGGAACGAATAAATTGTAATATCATTGTATGTTTAACCCTTTAACCCTAACTTGTACTTTTACTTTCTATATATTATGTTATACCATTTGTTTGAAACATAATCTCTAAAAGTTTTTGTAGAACTAGCTGTCCCCTGCGACTTCGTTTTTTTTTTAAATTGGCCCTGCTGTTTCGGAGAGTAGCTGGAATAAACAAACAATCAGACAAAACAATTTAAAATTGTTTTTTTTGTTCTTAGTTTATGTAAGTATACACAATTTAAAATTTAAAATTTTGTACAGTCGACTTCAATATAAGTTATTAAGAATAACTCCAAAACTATTGGTCTGAACTTGATAAAACTCATATGGGACCACACGAGAAGTACCAGCTTTCAAATAAAAAAAGAATCATCAAAATCGGTTCACCCAGTAAAAAGTTATGAGGTAACACACATAAAAAAAAACATACAGTCGAATTGAGTACCGTCTCCTTTTTGGAAGTCGGCACAAAATACTAACATATTGTGAATACTTTCATATACATTAAATAAAAAGCTGTTGTACAAACAGACACTTAAATTTTATTTATTTGTATAGATAAACGTGACAAACGAGTTCATAGTCCATCTGAAGGTAAGTGGATGTTGTAGTCCATAGACCCTAAATCTATCCTCGGTTGATAATCAAAATGTAGAAACGTTGTCACCCCTGAGGACTAAGATGATGGGTCTACGGTTCTTCGCACAAGCGAAACACATCGAAACCTAAATCGCGCTAACAAAGTTTCGAAGTTAAAGCAGTATATATAGAATAGCTCCGAACTACCATTCGGAGCGTTGGCCGCTTCCCGGGCAGAACACCTTGCCCGACGAGAGATCTCCCCTTTTCCTTCCACCCGCCACACACTCATCATACGAATAGCAGCAGCATTAAGCTGCTGTTTTACTCGTAGGTTATTCTGTGAGAACGAGAGCCTTTCCCGGTCGGGTCGAGCAATACGTGCTGCAGACTATATCTGCAGCGTGGCTCTACCACGTTAACTTTATTTGCAAGAGCAGGTTTGATATTATTTCATGAACCTAAATTCACCCCTAGTGCAACTGAGAATGTTTGTCCTTGTGAAATTTATGTATGTAAACTCCTGATCCTCCACGATACACGAGAAAATTCTAGTGGGAGTCACTTTTTAAATGAAATAAGAACTCTACTATGTCGATAAAAGTGTTAAAGTGCTTGTTAATTAACTGATAGAAATTCGCAATGACTACTGATATACGAGGCATACTTATTTAATTATTAATATTATCTTCAACGCTATCAAAAGAGCAAATGTTAATTATATAATAAATTAATTTAATTAAAAATGATTTTATAATTATAATAAAATTGACAGTCATGTTCCAAATTTCATCTATTACGTATATTTACTCTAATATTTGCTAACAAACTTTTTATTTTTCTTTGTAATTTAATGGCGATCCCTATGACCAGTTTCTCGGTGTGATCAACATTAAAATATAAAGAAAAGTTGCATTTGTGGCAAGTACCTCATTCGTTAGAAAAGTGCATTATATTCAGATGAACTTGGAATTGGAAAAACATGTTCTAACAACTGCCTAATAAATCAATATTCTCTACATTAATGAATATGACGGTTCGCTAGCATAGCGTCTAAGCTTTTGGTTGAAGCACTTCGAGGCCGTGGATTTGAATCAGAACTATCCGTTTTTTGCCCATGGGCGATTTATATATGTGTCCAAAAAATGTTCTAAAGTAAGTAGTAAAATTAAAAAAAAGTACAATAAATTTCAATATAAATACAATGAAAACCTCATCAATGTAGTAGAAGTCTATTAAATACGAATTACGAAAAAAAATTAAGAATTATTCAAAAACTAGTATATATATAAAAATAAAAAATAAAACAGATTCATCAAAATTGGTTCACATAGAAAAAGTTCTGAGGTAACAATAAATAAATATAAAATATATACATAAAATAATAAAATATAGTCGAATTGAGAACCTCCTCCTTTTTTTGAAGTCGGGTGAAAATGTCTTAATCAACCCGTAAACGACGCTTGACAAGTGGGTATACGATCGCAGTATTTTTTTTATACGTGGTAGAGCCATGCTGCAGCTATATTTCTGGTATAGTTGTAGCACGAATGAGTCGGCTCGGCCGGGGAAGGACCACGCTCTCACAGAATATCAGCGTAAAATAGCAGTTTAACACTGCTGTATTTCGTATGGTGAGTGTAGAGAACCGGAGACCCTTTTTACTGGAAACGAGGCATTCCATCTTAGTCATCAGCAGAGTTAAGCTGTTATTTTACGCTGGTTTTCTGTGAGGGCATGGTCCTTCCCCGGTCGACCCGACCCATTCGTGCTACAACTATAATATAGCTGCAGCGTGGCTCTACTACGTTAAAAATATGTGTACATAAATTGTTAAATAAATAAATAACTAAATAAGTAAGGGGTGGGTAACAAACGAGCACACAGTCCACCTGAGCACTACTGAATGCTACATTTATTTTCGATTAAGAATCAAAATTTAGAAGGTACGTTGTCATATTTGAGGACTAAAAAGGGTACCTCGTTACCAGTTAAAAGCGTTCGTTATACGCATCATACGAAACACAGCAGCATTCTGTACGTGTGCATTCTGGTAATCATTGCGAGCGTCGTTCTTGTCGGGTTGATTCGTGCTGCCATAATCAGCTCGACTCTACCACGTACACATACTCGTATCATAAAGTACACCAAAATAAAGTTTCTATTAGTAGTCCACTGTTAAACATAAGCAGCCCCTTTAAATTGCTTCATTAAGGAGAATATATTCCATAGTTTCCACGCTTGGCAGGCGGTATGGTAACCGCTGCTTTTTTATTATTTTGAGTTGCTATTCAGATAATGCTGCTTTTTTATATAGGATAGGGTGACAAACGAGCACGCATTCCACCTGATGGTAAATGGTTACTGTGACCCATAGACATCCACATCCATCCTCAATAAATAATCAAAATGCAGATGCGTTGTCAGCCGTGAGGACTATGATGGAATGCCTCTTTGCCAGTAAAAAGGGTCTCCGGTTCTCTACGCTCACCATACGAAACACAGCAGCGTTAAGCTGCTGTTTTTCACTGGTATTCTGTGAGAGCGTGGTCCTTCCCCGGTCGAGCCGATCCATTCGTGCTACAACTATACTACTAATATAGCTGCAGCATGGCTCTAAAACGTATAAAATCTGCTGCTGTGTATCTTAGGATTACTATTTTGAACCATTTACTAAAGCAGAGATTCCTAAAATGGGTGGAAGCCTTAATTTACGCGGAAAACTCACCAGGGTTTCGCGAAATTATGTATTTTTGCTTATTAAATAATTTCACTCTTAGTTACAACTATTATTCTTGTAATGAGAACCCATTACTGCTATGTAGATACGTAAGTAGTTATCGAAAATTATATTATTTCGATTGCACTATCTATGATATATAATCATTTGATGTGTGGTTTCATAAAATAAAAGGGATTAGGTTAGTTACATTATATTTAAAATTTGGCAACCCTGTACTAATGTACTGAAGTAATTTAATAAAACTTACAAAATAAGAAATTTATACTGGGAGAGAGGTTGTCTTATTCCTTTTTTTTTTTACTAGTTTTTGAAAGAAATTATCTGCCGTTAATGAAATAAATAAACAAATCTTTGATGTTTCGCGTCGTTGTTGCTGGTGAAATAGACGTTGCTATTCCCGCTAAATTGTTAAATATAATGAGCAAGGAAGAAAGTAGTCGTAAATATAATTAACAATAGACAGGCGGGATGCTCTCGGGAGTTACGATTTGCTTTTATAATATATTAATTGGCCATTAAAATCCATTTCATTCAAACGTCCTGGCCGTAAATATTTCATCTAATTTGTACTTGACCTTTATTTGTAATTTTCATTTGTAATTAAAATTATTTCGGTGTTTTAAAATATACCGTTACAGTCTATTAAAGTCCACTGCTGAACATAGGCCTCCCCCATAGATTAACTCATAGGGGGGATAGTTGTCATAGTTACATCATATAGAATATATTCCACGGTATTGCAGATACGCGCTGAAATATTATGCGTTTTATTTTCAAAATATGTAAGTGCAAATATCAATGAATTAACCAAACTCTCCTACCGTATTTAAGTCCAAACCAAGTCCTGTGATAAGGCTGGTAACGTCTCGTAGTCGGCGGAGGCCTGGGCCTGCGCTGCAGTAGAGAGGAGCACGTGGGCGTGCAACAGAAGAGGAAGAACCTCTTATCCCGGATCTTCTCGGCGGCTTTCAGCCGTTCCCGAGCGAGCCGTCCAGCGCAGCGGCGTGGACCAGCAGTGTCCACAACTGCGAACACTGCCACTGCAGTCACCAGCACCAACCAATTCATTGTCACGTGGTTACCACATCACACTTCACTTTAGCAGAACCTGGTTCACATTCCACCACTGCGAATTCGCGCGCACTTTCGTCAATGAAAAACTCTTTCAGCACGGTGGAGAATATCGTTTCGCGGCGAATTAACTGTCAAATAATTCTTAGATCCATTTTCGGTGGTCTGTCGCGTGGTGACCAGTGCCAAGTAATGTAGAGGCGTGCGTCCACGCCGGCACAGACTCGACGACTGCCAACAACGCGCACTGATTTCTTAGGGCTCCGGGTTCGTGTAAGTCCTGGTCGCTAAAACCGCGCTTTTCCGCAATCTGTTTTATTGGGTGCCAAACTCGTTTCACGCGAATTGATTGTTGAATATCAGACTCGTGGATTCGACAACGGGCAATGACCGTTCAGTCATCAGTCCGAATTAAAAGCGCGGGAGCGGCATACGTTGTTGTTTTTTCGGTGATGGTCCTGATTGATGCGTGTCATTAAGAATAATAAAAGGGGTTATGAGCATTCTCGGGCTGGTAAATCTCTGATTTATTGTGACCAATTTAGTGTTTTTTTTAAATAAGAAAAATTATACTAGCTCTTAGTTCTTAGCTTTTTAACCGACTTCAAAAAGGAGGAGTTTCTCAATTCGAGTGTATGTTTTTTTTGTATGTATGTAACGCGATATCTTCGTAAATTAAGGACCTTCTAGGGTGGTTCAAGAAAAAAAAATCCACCACTAAGAGTAGCAAATAAATAATTTATGGTATACCTAGCAATTTTAAGTCGGTTTTTATTTTTTGTTAGAAGTTATAATTATATTTTGTCCTATACTGTAGCGCTTTTCCTGAAATGCGCTATGTTATGGCCCTAAGCAGGGCTAGATTCTCTGCTAATTATGCGTCAGTTGCATCTCGAGTCTCGAGATTGCTACGGTACGTTGATAACGGTTTGTAAAAAGTGCGGGTGGTCATGCCACGCAGGTTATCAGTCACTCATTGGTATGGTTTAATATATTTTTTTAATATTGTTTAATTTTTAACCGACTTCGAAAAGGAGGTGGTTCTCAATTCGAGCGTATGTTTTTTTGTCTGTATGTAACGTGATATCTTCGCAGATTGTGAACCAGTTTTGATGATTCTTTTTTTATTAAATACGAGTAGATTATACTTCAAGGGTAGTCCCTTTTTTACTTTTTGTTAATAGTTATAATTATTTAAGCTGCAGATAGTAATTTTTTTTATAGATGACCCCCGCAAACCGGGAACCGCAACACCAAGGGAATTGCAGATGCGTTGCCGGCCTTGAAAAAGAAAGGTGTAAGTAAGCTCTTTTCTTGAAGGTCTTGAAGGTAAAAAATATGTAGATACAAAAAATATTACTATAATATTTGAGTAGTGACGGTGTAACAGAATAAAATTTAATATTATAATATAAACTAATAAAATTTTAATATAAACTTAAATATGCTGTAATGATAACGATAATGACGACACTACTACATATATTAACATTATTACTATGTTAAAATTACTATAAGTAACGCTTATAGCATATTTTTTATCATTTATAAAAGGTCTTAGTTTGAATAAGATCCCACGTGATAATAAACATGTTCACTAACAAGCGAAAAGATTAAAAAACTAAAAAAATATGACTACGATGGAGTTTATAAAAGGTTATTCCCTGTAGTGATTCAATTCTTTGAACCGGTGTTAAATTTTGACTTTCATAAGGACACGAACTGAGCTAAATTAAATATTTTTATCTTTAACACTGATAAACCAGGTATTTGTGCTTGTGCACAGAATTGTATCCGATGAGATGCTAAACAAGGACCGGCGATTCTAATGCAAGGTTTATACGTAGTAGAGTCACGCTGCAGCTATATTATGATTGTAGCACGAATGGGTCAGCTTAATACTGCTGTGATTCGTCTGGTGAGTGTAGAGAACCGGATACCCTTTTTACTGGAAACGAAGCATTCCATCTTAGTCCTTAGGGGTGATAGCATATATGCATTTGAGTCTTAATGGAAGGTTTTTTTTATAGGAGAGGTGGCAAACGAGCATGCGGCTCACCTGATGGTAAGTGACTACCGCCGCCCATGAACAACTGCAACACCAGGGAGGGAATTGCAGATGCGTTGCCGGCCTTTTAAAAAGGAATACGCTCTTTTCTTGAAGGTCCCTAAGTCGTATCGGTCCGGAAAAACCTGGCACCTTCAGTAATCGATTCCACAAGGAAGTGGTGCGAGGAAGAAAACATCTTCTAAATCGCACAGTGGTGGACCGCCAATCATCCAGATGGTGTGGATGGTATCGGGAGTTCTGCCGCGATGTGCGAGTATATATAGATATAGATATAGATGTCTATGGTCCACAGCATCTACATATTAGGTGGACTGTGTGCTCTTTTCCCACCCTAATTCTATAAAAAGGTATGTCAACCACTAGGCCGCTATTGCTTTGCCTTACATAATATGCAAACAGGTAGAGTTGATTAAATAGCTTTATACTGCTCTGGAATTTGTGGAATTTAATCAGATAGAGCTATTTGAATGTCTATCTCAAAGCTAAACGAGGTGTCATTCTTGATTCTGTGCAACATTTCATATTTTTTTTACTAACCGGTCTTTCTTGTCTCTAACGATCTAAGAGATGATTCATTACTTATTATATATTATGTTAACTTGAAAGTGTAACTGTTTATATTTAAGAAATTTGTATGTTTTTATTTCTTGTTAAAAATAAAAAAGATTGCGATCTAGAAAAATTTAATCTGCCTGTAATTTTACATTTTTAAGAATAAGTAGTTGGGATTTATATCAAGTTCATTATATTGTACGTCACGCCTGTAATTCCCGCGCAGACGGGTCCAAAGAGCTGTGAGGTTCTTGAATCACGCTTAGCCAAAAATATGGTTTTAGATGGAAAATTGTAATAGTAGTAGTAGGTAAAAAAAAAACAATAATATCTCATTAGTCGCCTTTTACGATATGCTAATGTAATATGTAACGCTGTTGACATTTTCCTTTTGTCATAATTCCCACATAAACATGGGAACCATAAGTTCCAGACCAACATTCTATTTATATAGTCACTTTTTTATAACTCAAAAACTACATTCTTGTTCGCATAGATGGCTCTGTGGTACGATAGTTTTTCATCCGTCAATCAAATAATATATTGGTGAGATCAAAAAGTTTTATAATATAGTATATAATATGGTATCATTAACTGTTTTATAATGAAAACAATTAATAATACCTGTACTGATGATGTTGATTTTTCAAATTTTTTCTATAGAAATTATTCCCAAAGCTTGTTTGTTATTTTTTTCTTAATATATTAGTTATAGTACACGAATTTCTGGGTTTGACTCTGTCCTACTCCAAGTTTTGGATTTATAGATCATATTACCTCCGCGTACCTTACATGTCGATGGCAGTAGTAGGTATACTAAAACTTAACGAACATTTAAATTCACTACTGGAATACAGTCATGAAATATCTCTTATGTAATTTATGGATGGATGGATATATATTAAAAAGTCATTATCTTTTAAATATTTCGAAAAGTTTTTTATTCATTTCAAAACTCTAACTTCGATGGTCGAAACTGCGTACACTTAATAGTTAAAATAGAATTTCAACATTGGCCCATCAATTCGCGTAGCTCGTAACTAAATAATGGTCCGCTTTGTGGGGCCATAGGTTAATTGGCCGAATGCGCAACCAGACAAAAATATTTACTCTCCAAGATTGGGAGTCGTGTGGATAATTAAATCAGATGTTTTGTAATAATGTAGTGACAAACGTTTGGGAAGGACCATGCTATTACAGAATACCAGCGTCAAATAACAGTTCATGCTGCTGTGTTTCGTATGGTGAGTGTAGAGAACCGGAGGTCCTTTTTACTGGAAAGGAGGCATTCCATCTTAGTCCTCACGAGTGACAACGCATCTGCATTTTGATTCGCAAATGAGGCCCATAGACATCTACATATATATGTAGATGTCTATGGGCCACAGCAACCACTTACCATCAGGTGGACTGTGTGCTCGTTTGTCACCCTTATCCTATAATAAAAGGCTAATAAAGGGGCCCAGATAGATAGACCTTGAAAAATTATATCAGAGCAAACGATTTTTCGATACAAGTTATATTTATCACTGTCATGAGGAACCTTCCAAAGTTACTAAAACATCTGCCGTTATCAGATAGTCAATAAACTAATTCAACTAACATAAAAAGAAAAGGAAAAAAATACAAATAGAGTAATTATCTTTGTAATATTATTCGGTCTAGTTTAATAGAAAGAAATAGAGGATGATCAAATGCCGACGATTACGTTTATTTTTTTTTAGTATAATTGATCCGAGCAGCAGTCGTCTTTCTAAATTCTCTTCTTCAAATTTCTTAAGCTCGGATCTCATAACAACCACCTGATGGTAAGTTTTTTTTTTTTTTTTTATAGGAGAGGGGGCAAACGAGCATGCGGCTCACCTGATGGTAAGTGACTACCGCCGCCCATGAACAACCGCAACACCAGGGGAATTGCAGATGCGTTGCCGGCCTTTTAAAAAGGAGTAGGCTCTTTTCTTGAAGGTCCCTAAGTCGTATCGGTCCGGAAAAATCCCTGGTGGTAAACTATTCCACAAGGAAGTTGTGCGAGGAAGAAAACATCTTCTAAATCGCACAGTGGTGGACCGCCAATCATCCAGATGGTGTGGATGGTATCGGGAGTTCTGCCGCGATGTGCGTTCGTGAAATTTGGCGGCTGGGATTAATCCGAACAATTCCTCAGAGCACTCCCCATGGTAGATGCGAAAGAAAATGCAAAGAGATGCAACATCTCTTCGCAGTGCCAATGAATCTAGCCGATCGGAAAGGGCTCGGTCGTCGACGATTCGAGCCGCTCTGCGCTGGATGCGGTCAAGTGGAAGGAGCTGGCACTGGGGAGCCCCTGCCCAGAGATGGGAACAGTATTCCATGTGAGGCCGAACCTGCGCCTTGT